TGGGTCATACATTATGTGGATAGTGAAAATTAGGTTAATTGGCGAGTGGTCAGAGTAAATTAAACAAGAATACTATGAAGTTGAAAAGTAACTACAATAACATATGTTAAACTAAACTTCTATAAAACAAAATAATGTTTTTTCAGTTCAAATATTTATATATTCCCACCACCACTGATCAGCAACTACTAATTAAAATCGATATTTAAATCCTGTTCTGTACAAATGTAATGAATACCTCCTGAAAACATTTATAAAAAGTGATTTCAGTACTTAAAAGACACTGTGCAAACGAATTAAAAAACAGTTGAGATTTTCGTATACTGATAATACCATTTGATATTCAATTTATTACACCTTAAAAGATTATAACCAGTAACTTATTCAGGTTATTTATGTATCCGAGTAATGTCCGACAAAATGTCAACAAACTAAGTCACGATATCCTCCAATTGTTTAAAAGCTACGATAGATATATCTGTATTCAACTAACTGTTGACAACCCTTAAAAATACTGGATAACTTTTATTTCAGTCTTAACTTCTTTACTTATAAAAAATTATCTGTAAATTCAATTAATGTGTTCCATTTCATTTTGTCTCTGCATTAAATTGGTATCACTTTCGATGCAAAACCTGAAGGTCATAAATATAAACATTGTATTCGTACTCTTAGATTTTTTTATTATTTCTCCAGGTTACCTTTATATCAAACCATATCTACAAAGATCATTCAATTAAATTGATAAATTTATATACACATGAGACATATTTTTGCCAATTTTGATTTTTTTTTAAATAGTGCACCATGTTTATGGATTGGTCAAAAACCAATTTATTTGAATGGTGATTATGAATTTGCAGCTCAATCGAAATGTCGTAATTGGCAATCAACTTATCCAGGTGAAAATGGTTTAGCTGTCTCTTTACCAATTGTTGACAATGCACCAGGTTTATTTTCTAAACAAAATTTCAAATTAATATCATGTTCAAAATTTTGTCGAATGTTATGCATACAAATTACACCATCCGATAAGTAATCAATCATAATTATTATGATAATCAATATTCGATTTGTGTATCCGTGCACACTTATTCCTGTTCTGTATCCACACAATTTTTATCGATTAATATATATAAATATATACTGTTACTGAATGAATTAAACATTTGTCAACTAAATGAGATTTTCAAAATATTCAACAGCTGAAAACAGGTAACAATTATTTATTTTTCTTTTGAATTTGTTCATTATTAAATACAAAACGACACTACTCTTTTTTTCGCTACATACTTACTGATTCCTTCAACGTAATTGAACACTTTTTTCTCTTCGATTCTGTCCATTTTAATTTAAATGTTGAAATTCAACAATTAAGCATTTATATTTTCTCATTTATTGTGAAAAAGAATAAGGAACCGATTGTTTTTCTTTGTCAGAACTTATCTCTCTATCATTTTGATACTTAAATTCAATGTTTGCATATACTAACTAAAAAAAGAAAGAAAACGGTTTTGACTTTCACTTGAGTTATTCACCAACGCACCAATACGTACATACATACATGCACACACACAGTCACACATGATGCACGATTTATGATTTTCATATTTATATCATTATCATTATTATTATTACTCCATATGTCTGTCTTTGGTTCAAAATGTTGTGGTATAATGTTTTTTTTCCTCTTTCTGCATGAATCACTATTTCTATGCATCTAATTGTCACAATAGAGGAATGAATAATTAAATTTTGTGCAGTTAGTTTTATGTGAAAGTGAAGCAAAATAAACTGGGCAATTTATATTGGTTTTTCTTTTGTTAGTTACTTATAGTAATTGTGTGCTAATTTTTGTGTTGGAACATTTAAAAAATGCAATGTACTACAAAAAAATGGGAATATATACATATATTTTATACGTGATATAATAAATTTGTAATTTATTTTGCGCTAAAAAAATAATATTCAATTCATTATGTTATATTGGCGGTCTGTTTAAACATCTGGGCTACCTGTTCCTGTCATTTAGATATTTCAATAAGTTATCTAATTTCGTTTGTTTTAATACATCATTATGCCTATTAATCGCACAACCTATTTAGGTGCGTTTCTGAAAAGTGTAAGACCTTTCGCTGTAAAGATTACAGAAGGCTTAATCAGAGATATCGTGGTTGCTGGCAATATGCAGCGAGAAGAATGTACATTATCCAGATGTCGATTGACTGGGCTGTTAAGTTCTAACTGGCGATCACTCAATTTTTATCGTCAGGAAGGACGAAGAAGTAAGAAACGGAAACTTGTTGAAGTACTTTATGCTGAGAATTCTATATTGTAGCAAAAATATAATATTGAATAAAGCTAATAATAATAATAATAGGATGGGTTTACAAAGGATTCTGTATAAATTATTATGAATTATACCTACTTATTATTAAATAAGTAGCAAAAAAAGCCGATGGTATTGATTACTAAATTGTAGAAGTCTAATCAACATGTTTATTCGCTTGAAACAAATAACATTGTTTTAATGAGACATGTTTATACTTTAAATCGAAGATGAAACTTAAAGTAATGTTGCAAAGTGACTCTGATGTGTTATATATGCCAACAGTCTATCTTATATTAATTGATAACACATTATGTAATCCTCAGTGTTGAATAAATTCGGTTAGCCAGGTTCTAACAAGATCACCAGTTTAAACGAAAGCGTCTTTGGCTGTGGTACCTAATGGTAAAGGTAAGAATTCTATCTTCAGTTAGTTATGAGCTAAAACGATAGAAGTATGTTGTTGAGGTCCAGATAGATTGATTATTAGGTTGGCTGTCAAGATATTCAATTTCAATGTGGTTTTTTCACAGACTTGTATTAGTTGAAGATTCATTTAAAACTTAACCACAACTAAACGAATGTTTCTTCTTAGTATGAAACTCTCCAGCAGTACATACTCAAAAACTTCACGAGAGTGAATCCAGAACTTCCAGTTCTCATATCGAGGATTAAAGTCAAATCCAGTAGTCTAGATTTTAAGCTTCGTTCAGTGAGTGTTATATTCCAAGTATCATTCAATATTTTCATCAGTGATCTCTATCCCACTTCTTGTATGATTGAGCTTCAATTATAGTATCTTTTTACTGAAACTGAGAATTTATCTCGAAATTAATAACTAGCAATCACATCATATGTATATGAATATAGTTTCAGCTCGGCTTTTACCACTGATTGAGGTTATCTGGGAAACTAATGAAAGTCACTCGTCACCAGGTATATGTTCTACAGGTACCTTATACATGATCAAATTTAGTAACTTTAGGTCTTTAAGAGAGGACATTATCGCGCGACCAGAGAATTAAAATATAATGACAAGAAAAATTCTGTTTCAATTAAAGACATACTACAACCACTATCTAATTTAATCTACATATCTTTATCACCTTTAAATTTTATTGATTTCACCATATCTCTTTAGATGTCGGTTAAATTCATCTTCAGATAAATGATTAATAACCATTTTTTTCCAATCATTATTGCGTAATCAGGTGATTTGTGATTGATTTGATCTACTAAAGCTTTCGTTAGTTAGTTATCCAGTTACGAGAGGCATTTTTAAAAATCTATGTCAGTATCATAAATAATTATATTTCTTGTCTTTCTAATGAATTCACACAACAAATTCTTTTATTGTCATTCGAAATTATCTGGTTACAGGTCAGTAAGGTGATGAATTAACAATTAAGATCATGAGCACTTAGACTATCGGGTTACACGATTGGTCTAATTAAAATCAGACAACCGATTTATGTCATCTTTCAAGCGAAAAATGTGGTTCAGAAATATCAAATATACTAATCTATATTTGTGTCAGTTAATTTAAATAATGTATTGATAATCAAGTAATTACACTCCCTAATCTAATTTCAAGGTTCCAGAATTAGTGATGAGACATGGTTTAGTAACTGATATAATGAATTGTTCGAAATAATACACGCAGTTATTGATGAATAATTGAAGCCTTATCGATGATTGAATTTGACAGTACAGTTGGTAGAACATTAACTAAAGGGCATTTGTTTGAATTCTATATATATATGCCAACAATGATCCATAGTTTTAGGTATAAAAGTGTATAATATTTTGGTATGTTGTTAGTAGTAGAATTTATGACATGCGTTTCTTTTCGATTAGAACTCGTCAGATGGATGTACCGGCATCTTAGTATTGACTTTTACAGTGGGACTCAAACACAGTACCTTTTAAATGAAGACTATATCAAGGTCATCAGGTCAAAAACTGTACATGGCATCAGAGAGTGGTCAATTCCATTCCTGGATAATAGTAATAACAGCAACGGGAAATCGCAAACACTTACCAATAATAAAGTAAGGTCTCGAATTATTTCTTAAGTTAACTATGTCGTACACACATATATATAAGCCGTTATACACTGATTGACTAATTATTTTAAGGTATTTAACTGAGTGGAATATTTATAATCCAAGATGATTCAAATATCTTTTTTAAATGTACACAGAAAAAAAAACGGGAAAATCTTTTTTTGAGAATTTAAATGTATGTACAAAAAATATACACAAAAAAGCTATTATATTCATAGTTCATTATCTCTGTCAATGTATTTTAAGGATCACATCAATATGTTCATATTCTATGTGTCCAAAAGAGAAGAGCAACTATCGATAATAATAATAATAATAATAATGATAATAATAATAATAATAATAATAATAGTGGTGTCCCTTTCAGAATAAGTCATATTTTGAAGAAGAAAACATCAAGAAATGTTGTAATCTAATATGATTATGTTCATAAGTATATTTATATCAATTGGCTAGTATCTCTCAAGAGGGAAACGTTTCACCAAATAACTAGATCACTTTCAAATAGATGAGTTTGTTTTAGTTTTCTAATGATTTTTTTTTCATAACTATACAGATGTAATCTCTATTTTTTGGGTTAAAAAAAAAGAAGGAAACAAATCGATATTAAATCTCTTCAAAAATTTTATTTGTCCATGTGTTATTGTTATGTAATGATCTTTTGAAAGTTTTCATATTCATAAAATTATGAAAATGTTGATTTTTACGTATAGATGATGATGTTACTAATGATGATGTGGTTGAGGTTGATGATGATAATGATGATACAGATTCTGTCAATTGATTATTGATTAATTCATTTAAATTACGTGTAAAACGATAAACATAACGTTTACCAGAAACTTTTTCAATAATTTTTTTATCATAATAATATCTTAAACCACGACTTAATTTTTCATAATTCATTTTTGGTTTATTTTTTCTAGCACCCCATCTTTGTGCTACTTGATTTGGTTCTTTTAATTTGAATTCATTTTCATAACCAGTCCATGAAATAAATGCATTTGCTTCAGGATCTTGTAATTCTTCTAATAAAAATTGCCATAATTGTATATGCCCCTGATGATTGGTTGTTGATGTTATTGGACAATAGAATGATGGATTGTATGATTTGTTCATAGATTCAGTGTCATTGGAAATTAATTGAGATTTTTGATGATAATGGTTGGATTGATGAGTACACTGACTAACTTTATTATGAATGAGAATAATATCACTATTACAATGATTTGTACTGACAGTGTCAGCAGAAGAACGGGAAGATTTGGTCAAGTTATTCGTAGGTAATTCTGGACATATTTGTATTGTATCATTAATAGAAGAATTTGTTGGTAATTGGTCTAAGCCATATTCACCTACAAAAAACGTCCAGACAAGATAGTTACTTATATGAAGGATTTGGTAAAATTTGATTGAACAGTCTGATAAAGATTGGGCCCCGAATATCCGGCAAACATCACATAAAAATTTTGATTGAAGTGGTTTCAGCAACTGGAATTTAAAAATTCCAATGACTCGCCCCCAAAATTTCTGACTAGTTCCTTGAGCAAGCACTGATGGGTCTGCCCAGTGAAACTGGACTATTTACATTGCAGTCGTTTAGATTATTTCAAGTAACTTTTGCACATAAAGGGTGTTCATAAAAATGTATCAATTACTGTTTAGCTACTAATGAATAGGCAAATTATTATGGTTAATTGTTTCAGCGTTTATGGCTAATGTAAGTTCATTATGGATCGAAGCAATCACTGACTTAACTTTCATCATACTGTTTCATTCTAAATAGGTTTTTAGTAAAGCTGACTTCGTTATCGACCACAACTTAAACTTTGATAAAATCATAACTTGGTCTAAAATGAAGTCTTATCCATCGTCCATCCATCTTATCCATCGTTTTATTCAATTCTGAGTATCTTATATTGTTACAATCATTTCCGTGTGGTAGCTGACTAGTATATACTGGATACATACGAACTTCAAATAACATGACCAGTGATCTATGAATCTTATACCTTCATGTCAAAATAATGTTTTCACTAATGAAGTATTAATCGAGGTTATATAAGGGTTTATTGAAATATTTTACCAATTTACTAATAAACAATATGAACAGACATCCTTGAAATCCGTATGAAAGCATCATATATTTGAAACACTTTATAGACAAACTATATCAAGTATAGACTTAGAAATCCCTTTTTTATTTGAATGAACAGACAAACAAATCTACAAATTATACCTAAATTCTTACACATATTACAAATTAGACCTTGATTTAATACAAACATTCCATATACTTGATTTTTAACAACTGAGTTACTAGATTACAAGCAGCAACATTTATTTCCATCGTTTCCTTTGTTGTCTTCCCATAGAATTGAATTACTAAATCCTTGTTGATATTTTAAATGATATGTATCAATTAGAATAAAGTTTTCATATGTTGGTCAACGCCGAAATTGAATTAAATCTACTTTTAATTTCAAGCTGTGCAAACTGTATTATGAAAGAAAAGATGTCTATCGGCAATACTTCTAATGCAGGTATACATTCATTCATACAAACCATTGTATTTATAAGTAATGGCCACAAATTATTATTACATTAGAGAGAATACAAGCTCGGCTTGATCCCTGCTATGCAAACTATCCAGTCTCAAGATAATTAAAATAACTATCCACTATCGTATAGTCTTCAAACTATCCTCCAGCTGACAGAAAATTCATAAGACCATCAAACTCAGTAATAAATACAAAAATTGGTAACTCACTTTGATCACTGCAAGTGGTTTGTTGTCGGTGTTGGGGATTGAAAACCGGTAACAATTGACAATTACTAGTATAAATTGATTGAGAGGGATATTTATATGCTGTGAAACTATTATTGTTACATATACGACTATTATTACTATCCAGGATATGATTATTGAATCTTTCATTTTGATGATTTAAACTATCATTATGGATATCTGAACTCAGTAACTGCGAATTAATTGATATATTATTATTAGTAATAGTAGTAGCATTATGAGTAATTGGGCTGATTGGTAGATTTAATGTGGTTGAATTATTTATTAAAAATGAATGTTCAGGTTGTGTTGACATAGTTGCCATCATTGTTGTTGACGACGTCATGGTTGAGGTACTTGTGACTGTTAACTGAATACATGGCGGACGATCATTCCCACTGACTATTTCTTTTCCAAATTTAATCTATTCAATAATAATGATAAACAGTCAACAAGTCAACAGACATTATTAATCGTAAACACGTCTGTGTTATGCATCATCATTTCGACTAATTTACAAATATATTCTTCCTAAATGCCCAGTAAAATCATTATGTGAGAGGAGAATACCATAACCCTGTAGAAAGCCTTATTACTAAAATAATGAATAGTTATTTACACAACGCATATATGCAGATGTAAATTACAACATCTCATCCAAGCACAGACATATGTGCAATGACCCCGACTAGGTAAATGACCCACTCACTAACATTATCCCGTCTAGACTTTTATCTCTCACTTATCATGTCTTTGAGACAACATATGATATGTTAGGAAATAGTGAAAAACCATAAACAAATTTTTTAGTCGGTCATCATCAGACAACACAGAATTGTACAATATTCACCTACTCAAGAGTTAATGACCACATTGTTTGTGACTAATGAACGACCGTATAAAATATGATAAAGTTTATATTTTCACAATGACCTATAATCCATTGAATACAGTTGTAATATTTACGAATCCTACAATTGGATGATAACTGTATGTTCAGTGTTGATTGAGTTGTGAAGTCCTTAGTGAGAAGATGGAATAAGTAGAATCAACCGGATTGATTATGGTTTAATCACCTATTAATGAGACTGAATGAAGAATGTTGTATGTGGGAAAGAGATTGAAATTGAAAATATGAATTAATGGATACTAGTTTAGTCATAAAATCGAAAACCATGTATTCATGACCAAATAATTATCTGTTTACGTAACAAAAAGTTTTTTTTCGTCACTAAGTAAACGCTGATCAATACTGATAAGATATTTCAACCTTCTGGTAGGCTCGTCAAAGTATTTATAAATTAGTTATACTATATGAAATGAAAAGTTGTGAGATGTTACTTCAGTTTATTTACTTCAAAAAAGCATCAGTAGCAGAATGAAGATCGTAATTGCTACTTACAAATATAAACTGAAGTCTGATTATCATAACAATAAATTTGATTGAAATGAATCTGTATCGATTATCAGTCTACTTAAGATTAGTAGGTTTGATTGAAAAATGAACTCCATAACCAACAGTGTTGTCATCACATTTTTATTTGTTTACCTTTCATGTTCATTCATGTTTCATAATCATTCCACCAATATAAACAAATCAACAACTAACAATTACTGAAAGAAAGTACCGACGTGGAAATTTCAAAGAGAATGTAATAATATATTTAAATTTTCAACAGAGAAACCACATTTCATGTTTCATATATCTCATTTATAATCAATTACTATTTCCGTGATTTGTATTTTATTGTACTGATACTAACAATATAGTAGTGTTATACTTTTAAATTTCTACGAAATCTAAGTCATTCTTGTTAAATCCAACTACAATACAAAATGATCGAAAGCTTACTTGATCTTCCACATCAAAATGATCTGTATCCATTTGTTTAACTAATGTACTGTTGTCATTGTTAAATTTTCTCATATTAGTTGATTCTTCTGGATTATTTTGCTGAACAGATGTTACTTTTTCAAAATTAGAGCAATATACAGGATTTTCGGGCAGATTTTGAATATGTTCTTGACTACATGTGATGAATGCTAGCAAAAAAAATTTATTACAGATTTGTCATAGTATTTGTTAGAATTTTTAAATTCGAAAAAAACTGACTCAAAAATTTATCAATATTTTAGGATTAATTTATACTACTTAAAGTTAGTTAGTAAATAGAGATTCAATATCAAAAAATATTCTCAAGCTACGAGCTAGAGTTGAACCAACGGTTTAAACTGAATAAGAATATGATCACTGTCAAAACACCCAACTCCAAACGATATCTGTCTATTATCCATTCCAACTAGAGAAAGTTTTCACAGTACTCAATGACTCTGTGACTTTCACATGAATATGGACGAACATTATCTTAGTGATCAAAACATTTAAAGTTAACCACTAGATTTGACGTTGAAACCTTACTTTACTTAATTCTGTATGATAATCCTGAAACTTGCCATTTAAATCAGAGCTCACTAGTCCGTTTGATTATTCGTAAACATTGAAATAGTTTAACAAGTAACTCATGGTAAAATAAACTTAGCGGTAATTTTATGACAGGTTCAAATCCGAAGTAGAATACTGGATCAATAAAGAGTAGAGAAACGCATGTTGTAAGGTTTGAACTAACATGAAATCTATGTCTGAAGTTTACTGCTGATTGGCGCAAGCAGCCCAATATCAAAAACATTTTACAATGAAGTCAAAACAAAAGACTATCCTTGAAATATAATTCTAAAAACCTACTGAAAAACCTCTAATTATGTGTTCAAACAAGTTGAAAGTGATGTAATTATTTACAGATAGCACTATCCCAATTACATCGAAAACTTACTGGTGTTAAATTCGTGAAACATTAAATTCCAGTTCAGAGTACCATATTTTAACTCAAACCCAGAAGTCCTGAATTCGGCTATTTATGAAGTAAGCGGACACTGCCAAGGAGTCCAAAAGTATGACAAAACAAGTTTTAATCACCGAACTCTACTTGATTGATAAACGGTTTTCTAACTGAAGTTAGTTTATTACGGAAATCATCCTTTAATAATATAAATCTCCTCAAAAAGGTGTCAATAGTTAGATGACATTATCTCATCAGTATACTGAAGGTAACGTAATTAACTTTATACTAGTCAGATTATCAGTGACCTTAATACCATTTTTAAAATATCTATTACATTTTGAAGTAAAAAACTCACCAGTTAACGTATTTTATTTAGCGAAGCATTTTGAAATCTAATTATTATTACATCAGAACTGTGTAATAGAGATGACATAATCATACCAAATAGAATTTATTTATATGGAATACCTGATGATAAACAATTTTAACGGATTATTTTTTTAGTAAACAGTTTTTAGGGCTTTTTATTGAAACAAATCAACTTCACACACGTTCATTTCAATTAGAGTATTTAGTAATTCGAGAGAGCTGTGTACATACATAGTTGTTAGTATAATTATAATTACTATCGAATCTTTATATTGATAAATAATTTGGCTTATGGATTAGCATTCTTAAACTATCCCCCTATATTTTTATGTTGTACAAACCGATACAAGTAGAATTAGAATTTTTTTGATACAGTTCTAAACTGTTTTATAAGATAATCAATTCATTTAAACGGATTAAATTGAAAATAAATAAATCGGCGAGAATTTTAATTATTTGTTATTTTTCGCTGATAAAAAAGCTAACAGTAAAGCATAATTTGAACAGTTATTTAATGGTTTTCTCATTCTGTTTCATTATAGTTTGAATTTATGATTCAATAATAATAGTGATATGTCAATAGAGAATGAGATTAGAAGCTATGTGTTTTATTGCACAATAAGGCTGGATTGTGTTAATGATATACAATGATGTATAAATGACGAGAAACCGAAAAATAACTAAAACTGAGGCAATGTATTGACGAGAAGGACTTTAGAACTGTAAATTTTCGGGTAGTGAGTGCAGCATGAAATAACTAAAATGGTTTTCAGATATGTTAAACAAATGCCCAGAGGTTGTTTTTTACGAGCGATCGGAGCTAGATGTACAGATTGACTCTATTAGGCTGGATATAACCGATGTCACAGAAACTTAGCTGACACAGTCTGTAGACAATAGGGAACTTGATTTCGAATGTTTCACATTAGTAAGAGCTGACAGAACCCAGAAACGTAAAGAAGGGGAAGTAGCTCTATTCATTAGAAATACTATCCCATTTGTCGTTATCGATAACATATCCCATGAAAGTGAGAGGTGCGAATTTGTTAGTTACCGCTTGAAATGCAAAGGAAAAGAGCTGCTAATTAGTTTGGTCTACTAAAGTCTAAACTGTGAGGTGAATGGGGCTAGATGGTTTTAACATTTAGTAATCAAGTGGTCTATGTTCAAACTTAGGAGACATTAATGCACCTACGGTAGACTGGAAAAATCTGAGGACTAAAGTGTTAGAAAATTCTTTCGGACAGAAACTAGTTAACGTGATTATCACGCATGTTCAAGCGCAACATGTAAAAAAAAGCAACTAGGTACGACTCAGACTCCGAATCAACCTTACTATATCTCATGATGATCTATTATGGGGACGACGTCACAAACCCCCATCATATGACACTCTTAGGTAATAGCAACCATGAAGTTCTGGTTTTTGACTTCCATATTATTGCCATCAACGTTGTGTCAGCCCAAGCTAACCCAAACGCTTGAAAATCAAATTCACAAAAAATTATATACCCATCACTCTCAGTAGATTTGACAACAGAATCAGGATCTTCTATTAAAACGCTTTGTGGGGTATTAAGAAGTTTGTAAATAAGAGTTACTGCACCGCACATCCCCAGGACTACACCAAGATGTTCGAGAAACTCCCCGCCGTGATTCAGTAAGGAGGTTCTCACTCTTCTACATCAGAGGAGGAGAATGTGAGGTCGATTTAGGTCACTGGGTACTGATGCGACAAAATCTGAATATCAGGAAGCTCTAAATATTCATGCATCGACCCTTCGCAAGTCTAGACGATTGTATGAAGAGAAACTTGTTAAGGAGTCTATAGAAACCTTAAACACTTATACTCGTGCATAAACCAAAGGAGTGAGAGAATAGGTGACATCCCAGCATTATCCGGAGATAGTAGTACTGGATCATTAGTGGAGGGCGGCTATGGTAAAGCTCATGTATTCTCAAATCACTTTAACAATGTAAATACTGTAATGGTAGCTTCCCCCTCAGTTCATACAAACCCCCCCACACACACACTCTGGACACTGCAATCATGGAAGAACCCGATAAAATGCATTCTGGGTTGCCAAAGGAAGCATTTGTTTTAATCTATCTGTAACCCAAGGTAGGTTACCAAAAGACTGAAAGAACGCCCTAGTAAATCCTATCTTTAAAACAGGTACGAGACACGAACCTGATAATTATCGATCCATAAACCTAACCAGAGTGGTTGTTAAAATTTTAAAAAATACTATTCGGATGTTGTTTAAGTATCTAGAAGAAAACTGAACTCTTTCTGAAAAGGAGCATGGCTTCAGAGTACTTTTTACGTCTCACTAACTTATTAGCAGTCCACGAAAGTCAGCATACTCTTAAAGATCGAAAATTATTCAAAGATGTAGCCTACATTAACTTCAGTAAGGCTTTCGACAAGTTCCACACAACCGGCTGTCATATAAGTTTAGGGCCAGTGTTGTTGCTCCTGTATGTGAATGACATTCCTAGTCTCTTATCATCATGGGTTTTGATATGTACTGACGATTTTAAGATGTAGTGAGCGATAAAAGTAAAGATGATAGTTTAGAGTCTCGAAATGACTTGAAGAAATGATCTGAATAGTCTAGAATTCGGCATTTGCCGATAAGTGTTTTCAAATGCATTATGATACATATTAGTCATCAAGGTGCAAATACAAATACAGTGAATAACGGTATATACGGTATTCATTATTCTTAAACTCGTATATCTCCTGCCTAAAGGGACAGTGAGGTGTTGAAAAAAAGATTCAAAGAACCTCAACTAAGCTGATTCCTGGAGTTGTAAGGCTCCCGTAGGTTGCTTGATTGGCTAGACTAAGTCTATTTCATTGTCATGTAGATAAACCAGAGGTGACTCGATCACTTACTTAGTGATAAATTTTCATCTGATATCCCATTAATTTGATCGTCTCCCATCCTATAAAGTTCACAAGCCCAAAACAAATTTGTTGTCAGTTGACTACTGAATTTTCCATCGAATCATCAATGAATGGAATTCATACTCAGCACATGATTGAAACTCCCTCTATCGACGCTTTCAAAATAATGTTGGATCAAGTTAAAAAAAAACCACTGTTCCGACTAACACAAACCATTTAGAGCCTAGTCTTTTTCAAACTGAAACTTGATAAATCTTTATCTATGGTCTTCACGTTCTTCCCTATTTCGAGGTATATAGGTCCTTGTTCAGATATAACGGTTATAGATACATCTTGTTTTGGTAAGTGATAATTAACAAAAATGTTGAGATGTTATGATTTTGACTGTAGTATAGATATTTTTCGTTCTACATTACCGTCAACTATCTGACATAATTTTATGAATAACCTTCAACTTACCTGGGAGAATATTTTCATGATAATTTTGTGTATGATTAAGCTGTTGTAGTTGTTGATGTTGAAGAGAATCATGATGATGATAACGATGATGTTCTTCTGTAGGTTGAGGTAAAATAGATCGATCAGAAAGATGATAAAAATGATCATATGATTTATGCGATGATAACCAATAGTTTGATATATAATCATTACACACTCCAGTTTGCTCCGATTTCACAACTGTACTGTTTACTGTTTTATCATTATTATTATTATTATTAATCTCATTACTGTTACTATTATTACTATTTGGACCATACAAGGTAAAACAATACAACTCGTCCATTCTGTCATTATTATTGTGTAATGAATCATTACTTTCTTTTATGGTTTTTGTAGGCACTGATTTTGACTCGATCATGTTAGTGACAGTTGTTGTGGTTGGCGTTGTTGCTGGTATTACTGTCGATATTAATGTTGGTGTAGGCGATATTGATGGGATTGTTGATGAGATGGTTAATGTTTTCTTGTTCTTTGTTAGTTCTAATAACCTTAGTTCATTTGTCGATGATAAATTTTGGTGTTGCTCATGATGATGAAATTGGTTACCACTTGAATACTTTATTTTTTTCAACCCTTCTAATTTTGTTATTCGACGTGAAGAATGATTAGATCGTTTACTTTTTTTCAACTGACGGGTAAATTTCCCATTTGTATTTTCATTTGTTAATTGATAATTATTATTTATATGATAATTGAATGGTTTGCATAGGTCATTAAATTCAGATGAAACATTATTTAAATTTGATATATTTGTTTTCGAATGAACACATGTGGAGGGGAGAGAATAAATTCTGAAAATAGAATAAATGGATTGTTCTCTTAAAAAGTGGCATAATAAAGGACATAAATGAACGTTCAGTGAAACAATTGTTTATCATTTTCTGTTTTTTTTTTAATCATTCAGAATCCAGTTGTAACAGTTATGAAAATTAACATTTGATCGAAAAAAATACACTACTAATAGCCGAGTAGAAAAAAACGTTCATCTACTAACTGAATACTGGTTTTGAAACGATTTTCTTTAAATTTCTGAAACAAGGTTGCGATACATGGAAACAGCTAATTACTTAGAGGTGTAGAAGTCATTAGTCGATAGTAAAATTATTTTATAAATTGAATGAAGTTGGAAAGGATAAAATATTACACAATAAATTAATTGGATCGAAGATACCACGTTAATCAGAAAATCCATAAGATCTTGGTTACATAAGGACACGTATTCAGTCAACAAATCACCTAAAATTAAATTTAAAATCAATCTAAGTACACAATTGTTTTGATTAGTAAAAGTCTGGCCAATGCTCAATTTATTTAAAATTATCAATTCAAAGCTTCATAATGTTACCAACTATAACAACTGGATTTTTGATTCTTTTTTGATTCTTCATCACTAAAGTATAGTTTACTTTGTATTTCTTTATATTCTCCTATAAAATAACTCGATGGAAAAATGTTTAATTTATTTGCTACCCTCAAATTTATATATTTAACTCTGCCTGTAGATCCTCCGGGGGCTACTGCCGGTCCTAAGCCCGGATAAAGGAGGAGAGTCGGGCATGGGATTAGCGACCACATCCCGTACAAAACTAACTCGCTAAAAAAGCACCAACCAGTAAGTAAATAAATTTATATATTTATTTTGTTAAAATTTCTTCACTGACGAAATGTTCTAAACTACAAAATCATTAATAGTTTAGGCATATATTATAAGCACTCACTTATCAAAATTATGATATTCATCTAATTGACTTGTCTCTTGTAAGGTTTGTTTTCTGGTCATTATTCTCTGTTCATTTGGATATGAAATAATTGAATTAGTTATTTGTTGTTCAGATAGTAAACATGTTGATGATGTCAATGGTAGTGTAAACGATGGTCTAGAACAAATTGGTGATATACTTAAATCACTGTTTTCTAATATTACTTTATTTAACATTTCAGTTCTATTTAAATAATTATAATGATTATCACTATTATCATTATTATTATTATTATTATTATTATTATTATCCATATATGAGAAATAAGGTGAATAATTTTCATAATTTGAATTATTCTCATGTGTACTTTTCGTTAAATTCATTTGTGATTTCACATATTCATAATCTGTTCCGTTTGGCATAGTATTTAATATTGACCAGTCATGTTGAATATTTCGGCTGTTACAATATCGATTGGTTTTATCACTAAATTGGTTATGATGTTGGTGATAAATTTTTTCAGTGAATTCTAACAAATGATTTGAAATTTCTGGCATTTCGGTACATTGAAAATCACACAGTGAAGAAGATGTTTCAGAATAATCTGTTTTATAAAAACACAGAGAAAAAAATTTGCATTTAAACAAAACAATCTTACAATGAAAGAATGATATATTTATGATGTTCCAATTAGTGGAAGTTTGAGTTTCTGACGTTTGTCAGCTTAGTGTAAGTCGCTTCTTCATTAAGTAAATAAATAACGGGATTGAATTTAAACAGTACAGAAGAACAAGCAGAAAAGTTAGTTCAGTCGAAATCGAATTTTTACACTGAATGGAAGAGTAGCGTTGAAGCTGATGTGCCGATTTTCAGTAAACTTTTAGATTTAGATCTCTGCTAGAATTCCTCTAAGTTAGTAGTATAAGAATGGAAGATCATCATGCTCATCTTCCTTTTCAAAAACGAATTTGATATGATCTGAGAAGGTTTTTATCACTTCAGAGAATTTTCTGTGATTTTTTTCACACTACAGACTTCATACTTTTCACACCTACTATAATATGCACAAATACATACAGAGATGTCTTACGGAGAATCACCTAAATTAAAATGACATCAACCAATTTTTATTGTATTCTACCTGTTCCTCTATAGTATTTAAATTGATGTTCATTTGTTTATTTAGTATGAAGAAGTGGCGTACATTAAGTTATGAAACGTTAGGAATTCTAATTTTTACTCATTAGAGTGTCATAAATATATCATTATTTATGATTAACGTCCTACTCAGAGGTCAATTTGTTTGAAATTATCAAGTCCAAAGATGGTGATTATACATAAAAACACTTCCATTTAAATTGTAGGGAGATTTCGAGTAAAAAAAACTAACAAGTCATAAATGATTGTTTTTTATTATGAACATGTCTGATAAAAACGGAACATCGGTTGATGTAGTGGTAAGTTTTCATAAACTGAAATAGTTGAATTATGTATTATGCTTACCTCGAAGTCCCGTTTCGTAGTGTGGGAGCAAGTTGTGAGAGAACAAGGAGTGACCAAACCAAGCCATGAAATCGTTCGGTGAACTTATTGCCTGCTTGACTAAGACGTATTGATTAGCGCAGACTACTTCGTTTGGAGTCCCTTACGATTATCGTACTTAGTAGTTGGAGATGTTAGGTCACACAGCTTAGACTCGGTCACAATAGCTCAAACGCTTTCACTGTTCGTCTTCCATTAGATCATAAGTTTAAGAAAACATTCGGTTTCGATAATCAATTCTTTCTTATCAGCTCATATTCTTCATGTTTAACTTTTTCCACTACCATTGATACCACTACTGACTGTACTACTCTGAAGCTCATCTTGATAATTTCATCTTCCTTTACTTACGTAGTATGTCAGTTTAAACCAATACAGAAAGTGTTCTATGAATTGCTTTTTAAAAAGATTAGACTTATTATGATAATGTTTAATACTACTACAAAATAAACGGTTTGGAGATTTCTATTAGTTCTTAATATGTATTCATGAACATTTATTTCAAATTTACTCAATATTAAGTTGAAATTTTCACTAAATTACATGACGGTGAACTTCCTAATCGATTCTGATTATTATTTCTATTTAAAAAAAATGTTTTAAAAAATATAAGTGAAATCAATCTTCATTAATTTTATTTCTTGAAAAATTTTTAACCTGTGCTTCCAGGTTTTCCTTGGTGGTTTAGCTTCAATTGACTCACGAAAATGCTAAATCATCACACAAAAACCCTTCTGATAATATAATTGTTTATCAATTTTTTGATGAATAGTTATTATCATATTGTTCTGTACATGTTTGATAAGAAGTTCACAATTTTAACTTCACTGAATAATTTATACTAATTTCAGTCGATTAAAACAATGTAGAAGTCATGAACAGTTAACTTTTTAACTTTCTAAATCTCAAAGATTACTACTACATATTAGAATTTGGACGGATTAACTTCCGTAGAGTTATTTACTTAATCATTAATGAATTTAATTCACTTAGTGAATTTAAACTTCACCCCATTGCAAAAGCAAGTGGCTATCAGGACTCAGTAGCTGAGTGGATAATGCGATGGCGTTTGAAGCGAAAGGTACTTAGTTCGAGTCCCACAGTGTACATCAAATCTGATGTGCAGGTACATTTAGCTGACGAGTCCCAGATAGGATGAAACACGCATTCTGGATTCCATTGCTAGCCACTATCCATCTTTACTTACATTAATGAATTGTTTTAAAAATTCAATAAGTTATTTAAATACTATCTAGGGTAATGTCATTCAAGTGTATATATTCACAAATAAGTTTATTTAGTTCAAATTACAAATATTAATTTCACTTCCCTCCATTACCCATAAAATTATTTGCATTGTCCTAAGTAATTATTTATAATTTTATAAAAAATAATTAAAGTCACATGATATTCCAAGTCATTAAAGATGAACAATAATTTTTTTTGAAAAGTATACAGTTTTTCGATAATAAACTAAGTTTATTTAAGTAAAACTCAAATTTTTCATGAATTTTATACATTCTAACTATATTTATATTAAAAGTTAGTACTTATTTGAATTGTATCTATCTCTCCCTCTCCCTCCCTCCCTCACTCTCACTCTCTCTCTCTATATATATAAATATATATATATAACTATTAGTGCAATATCGATTTTTAACTTTTAAATAGTTTTATTTAGCCTAACGTGATTAGATATCACCAAGATGTAAATACTCTAAATATATTGGTGTGTAATGCCATTTTATAGATTTAAATGTCCACTGCATGTTAATTTGTATGCTTGCATGCGTGTGCATAAAGTATATCAATAATGTACAGCTTATTCAATGTGTCATCGAATAATTAGTAGTACACATGTTTTAGAATACATAAACTTCATTGTTTTACATGTAGATAATAGATATATACATACATATATGATATCTGTTTATATTTAAATAGAACAAATATGTAGTTTAAATGAACAAATTAGCCTTATTATTATTTTTATTTGATTAGTAAAGAAAGTTTTTCCTTTTTTTTCAGAAATATATAATAAGAAAAATCTTAACATTGATGATCGTGATAATACTTTGTTAATTGTAGTGGATCAACAATTATCCAGGTGATGACGATGACGGTGGTGGTGGTGCTGATGATAGTGCCTAGTTTATTTACTAACGGTTATTATAGAAATACCTCTGAGAAGAGAGAAAAGATAGAAAGAGAAATGGATCTTCCAGGTGTCTTGTAAAACTTTTATTATAAAGATTCGATCTTAAAATTATTCCGTTAAGCTTTAATAGTGCACGTGCGTATTTATAGTTAATTCGTGAATGGGGGGGATAGTGATGATAACTAAAAATTAGCTTGAAAAAAAGTATAGTATTGATTTGGCCAATTCTAATTTGTTCGATTCATGAATATATATTCATCACTGTTACTCTCCCCCCTCAAATGTACGCATACATATAGTCTTTTCAATTTTTGTTATCCTTTTATTCCCTTCTCCCTCTCTCTCACTCTCACTCTATATGAAAAGTTCATCTAAAAAACTATTTTTCTGACTAAGGAGATTATTTATTCAGAGCTACTTTGTCAAAAAAGAATCAGTAATTATGTTGATCTGTGCACACATACCTATTTATACTTGTACTAATTTGTAGTTATATGCATACATTAATACAACATATCAAAACATTGTATTAGCATAGTAAACTTAACCCTGTACATAAAGTCTCGAACATTAAAGAATAATATAAATAGATCAACAATTATACATGAAAATTTTACATCAATAACATGATCGAGACATAATTCAGAAACTCAGCTAATATAAAAGTTTATTCGAAAAGATTTAAAGACATGAGGATAAAACAAATCATTCTCTATATCTTTTATGCATTTTCGTAGTCATCATCTTTTTCAGTTTATTAAAATAAAGTGACATCTAATCAGATAAATTAATGTTCAGCATTATTCTTTTTTCTCTAAAAAAAATGTACCTTTTTGAATACAATAACAAGAACTTAACAGAAACAAATAGTTCAGTAACTAAATATTAAAGAAGTCCGAATAGACACGAGTCATTCATAAAGTAGATAATACAATAAGAGAAAATGAAGAGTTAATGAGAATAGACATTACAATTTTCATTATTTATTTATTTATTGTTAATATTAATAATGTGTATAATTTCATTTTTGTGAGAATTTTCTGTTTTTATGTTTGTTTATTGAATGAACAAAATAAATTTTGATGATCGGAATATAATAATAATAATAATAATAATTATTATTATTATTATTATTATTATTATTATTATTAATAGTAATTTTGCTAGAACGATGTTGTTAAGCTGACAGAAACTTTAAAATCCTTCAACTCATATCATTGGCGTTTTAATTTGAACAACGAAATAAAATTAATAAGCTTACGGAAATATCAGTACCATCATGAAGTGACATTAAACAATAGTGAAAATGTTACACTGAACAACTGTTTTTTTTTTCACATTTTTGTGAGGCTTTAAAAATACAAAACATAAAGTTTATACGCCAATAAATATGGGGTTCTTAAATCTCATAATCATTACAATACCACCTAAGTACTAATTTGGAATTCAAATATCAGTTATGAATTATTATTTCATTCAATGATTGACTAACGTTACAGTTCAAAGCTATCCGATAGCCACAGTCTTGAGGCTAATTATTCATGACCACATGATTACCATAGATCATAGTGAGTATAGTGGAGATTTTCAAAATCTCCAACCATTCTAACCTGAAACTACAGTATATTTGGAAGGTAACATGAATCAATAGTTCTGACTTTGGAGTAAACTTGAAAACTGTTCAAGACATTTGAACATGATAAGATAAAGTAGTAAAATTACTTCATTGTGTTTTCTTTTGTATTATTAGAAAGTTATCATTCTTTCCATATTTCTTTTTTCCGAGGTCTGTCAGTCTCTAGGATGGGTGCATTATTATTTTAATTTGTGTAGTAGTTGTCGTGGTGTTATATTATACTGATAGTTATATAAGTTATGAAGAGGCGGTTTAATCTTTAGGGTTC